ATCTTGGAGCCGGCTGGCGTTGGCCCTGTTGGCCATGGGGGAAGCTTCTGGCAGCTCCTCACAGGAGCCACCCATGCAGCCACTACCAAAACTGCCAGGCAAACCCACCACACCTCCCCTCTTGGGGGCTATAGAGAAGTTGTATTATTGTCAGGTGATGAGATGAAGGTGGGGGGCGTTAGGGAAAGCAAGGGGTCAGGGGAGCTCTGGGAACCAAAAAGCTAGTAGGCACTGAGGAAGGAAAGGCAGCATATAACCCATATAGCAGGCTATTGAGGTTGCTGAGAGCTGAGAATTTTGAGGCTGGCAGATTGTTATCTGCTGTATAAGCCATACAGGCAGCAGTATTCATACATGTCCTCCAGGTTCATGGTTTTTCAGTTACTTGATCAAGATATGGTGTTACCTTGGATGTGGTGCCTGAAGGGCATTCCTCCTCTGTTGATGAGATACGTTTTCCCTGCGAGAACAGTTCTCATTTGAGTTACAGCACGTTCCTCTGGCTGTTATTCTTTAGGCATGATCATACCGTGGAGGTATCGGGCACTCTGCATAGGGTGAAAGGTGCTCGTCCCAGGTGCTTCAGTAAAGCATCAGAAACCAGAAGCTCTGTAAGAGGCTTTCTTATACTCAGATGTCCAGCGCGCATCCCAAGGAGATCTTTCGTGAGACGGGTGAGGGCTGCAGTTTGAATGGGGGACCTACGTATGAGCTTGCTGGAATACCTCTATGATCGGAGGCTGAAGAATTGTTGAGTCGGACTTAGCTGTATCTTCTCCCCTGAATGCCATTTCTGCCACAGAAGGATTCTGCCCTCTCAAGCTGATGGGACGCAAAGATGCTTAGTAATAAACCTGTTGCATATGTTTCTGTGTTGGGGCCCTGTATAGCAGTTACTACTCCAGCATGGGGTATTTTAGCAGAAACCCCAAATGGTGGCTCTAGATGCAGATATTGGGGTGAAGCGCCATCAGGAAACAGAATGTCAAATTAGATGAGTTTCCTTCTACTTTTTTTAATAAATCTCTGCTAAAAGAGAAAGATGAGCCCTCTTGTCCATAGGTCCTTGGCCATAAATCACAAAAGCAGTGGTGAAGGTTTTAAGAGACCAAATTCTGCATGAGGCTTAGCCTTTCAGCTTTCCTCTAATAGCGTCCATGGGACAGTGCAGTACATTAAAAACGCAGGAAGAGGGTGAGAAATGTTGGATAACTAACATGTTGCATAACATGTGTTTCTTCAAATAGTTCATTAAGGTATCAAGAACTTGTTATCTCTTTTGTCTGGAGGAAATTAATTGAAGTTCATCATTTAGGTATTTAACACGATGAAGTTCATTGTAGGTATTTAACAGGGTTGTAGAAGTATGAGTTAAAACAAATGCTTAGCACAGTTCTGAAACTCTTTTCTGTTCTCACATTCCAGAAGAGTCTTAAGTTTCAGTTTCCTGAAGGACACTTGTATTTTCTGATGCCAGGCCAAAAATGATGCGTTCACTATTTCCAGAATACCTTCCGAGACACACAATTGTTCTATCTTTGCCCAGCAAAGCCTGAGAAAAGTCTCTTTTGATTGCTAGATGTATTGGGAAACATGTATTTACATCCGGTGCTTAATTCTTTTAATCTCTTTTGCCTTTAGTAATATTTTGTAATACTTGTTATATTCCAGTCTCCATTATGCTCTGCATGTGTCAGAATTTCTTCCAGCTGATCCTGTAATACTTGATCTCACTGTGAATCTAGATGCATCCTCTGTTTTTATCCCCAGCATCCTCCTCGGTGCCATTTGAATAAAAAGCTAGATTGTCTGAACTCTTGAGATCAACTGCTAAAGCTTGTCAGCTGATCTCTTATTTGTTTTCAGACAGAACAGCCAGTTCTGAAAATAAGCAAGCTTCATACTCATTGTCCTGTTTGCAGGTTGATGCTGAGGATAGCGGGAGCAACAGTAAAGTGTGCGTTCTTTTTAAAATACATAGAAGGCTCACATTTGAAGCTGAGTAAAGAGCAAGTTTTAAGAAATTTTTTAATTTCTTGGCAGATCTGTACTTTCTTTAATAATACTTGCTGCCTAACCCTGCTCTTACCTGTACTGTCTGAGTTCAGTTTGTCTGATGGCTCGGTATAGTAGTCCCTCTGGTAAGGACCATACTCCAGTAAACTTAATGGCAGCTGTCCAGTTTAATTTACTGAGCTGGATCAGAGTTATTTCCTATTTCATGTTATCTGATGAAGGGCTTGATTACAGTTTTCCAGCGTGCGGATATGGCTTTCTATGTTTATATCTTTTTGTGTCTAGAAACCGATTTCCCAGAAACAGGGAAATTTTGCCTTTTCCCCTTCAGCTTAGCCTGTGATTATTTAAGCAGTCAAAGCAGAAGAGTTTCATTTCTTGCTTCTCTCTGCCTATGATTAAAAAGTATTTACTTGCAACATAAATAAGAGAGTGTACTTCTTCAACAAAACCCTTTTCTGTGCAGTAAAATCACATTCTGTAGATGCTGTTACCTACTCTGGACAGATTTTGCGTTTCTGGATTACTTGCATTTCCTGAGGCTTATGAGATTTTCTTTTCTTCCTCCTCTAATAAAAACAATGATGATGATAATAAAAATAATATATTATGGGAGAATCCAGTATGGCAGTTTCAGCGAATTTCAGCTTTAGTGACTTTTGGTTAGGCATTGCTGGGTGCTTCAGATTTCCCTGTTTTATTGTCTTCAGGGTAATTCTTTGGTTGTCTCGTTTAGTTTTTCCATATTTCTAATATTGTTATTATTATGAATTATTATTATTTTGAAGACATACTTTCTGCCTGAGATCACAATTTTATCTTCCCACAGTCATTATATCCCTTTTATATTTATGAGTTTATGATAAGTGTATGAAAAAAGTGGTTGATGCTTCTTATTTTACCTAGTGTAAGGTCTGTGGCAGAGTCATAAATGTATTTATTGCAATGTGCTTTGGTGTTTCTGTAGCAGCTTCTACTGTCCAGCTATCCTTTGATGAGGATGCAAATGTAGGGGCAGCTGCAGTCAGGGAAAAAGCAGAAAAAGTAGTTCCTGAAGCAGACGTGCTGCCTGTAGGCCAGCGGGAGCCTTATTTCCTCTGGTACGACTCTCACCTGAACGTGGTATTTTGGAGCTAGCAATAGGTTATTAACCGTAAAATCTGCTTGGCTCAAAAAAGTATTAGGTTGATGTAGTGCCGGCTTTTCAGCAATTAAATTTCTTTAGCATTTACAGCATTGGTACTTCAGCCTTTATTTTTCCAAGTATTTACTCATTTACTAGATATTTGAATCTGTACTGTTTATAAAATATACTATATGATGACAATATTTCATAGACATCAGATGACCAAACTATTACATACTGAATTATTTTCCAGAGACATTTGAAAAACGGGAATGTTTTGTTTTGAATTTCTTACTGCTTTTATTTAGTGAGTCACAGTTGACCAAGATGAGCTACTCAAGTAGCTGAATAAACAAACAACTGAGATTTGGAAACCTTTATCCATTCTTTGCATTCATAGCATTTCCCAATTGGAAATTAAACACTGAAAATGTTATTTTACTTCGTTCATAACATTGTCCCTATATTAACCAGTAATAGTTGTCCTCAGAAATATTCCAAACTGGATTTGTATACCCACAGGAAACCAAACACTGAAAATAATCCCAGGGTTGTATTATCAACTGCTACATTTCAATTATACATAAACAGGACATGAGAGACCTGAGAGGCATATCAGTAATGCAATGCAGACCAGTAGCATCTTGAAAGAGGGACGTTTTAGAGACATTTTTAAAGTGGAACTGGGAAAATCGCTTCATTCAATTCATCCGAACGGGATGAGCCTGATTCAAGCTGATATAGTCAGAACTCCAGACTTCTGTTATCTGACTTATTTCTTCATTTTTAGGGATCAAAAATACTTGGGAACACGAGTAACATCACCTCTTAAACGGGTAGCACAGTTTTCAAGAGGAATACTGAGTTAGGTAAAGTTATTTGCAGAACTGAGTATTGTTAGAAGTATTCTCAAGACAGCCCTACGAAAATATTTGCACTGGAAGCAAACATAAGTAAATTCCATCTGAGAGACGGTGCTATTCAATTACTTGGAATTACCCGCAGTCTTTCATTTTATCAGTTTGCAGGATCAGATCTTGACTTGGTCTTTTGAAGTCTAGTAGGCACTGCATTACAAGTGTTAATACTTATTTATTTTTCTGGGCTTAAAATACTGTATTAAAAAGGCAGCAGAGGGCGCTGAGCCTCGCCGGCGCAGCGCGATTTGGATCTCTTCCTGCTCTGCATTTCCCTGTCCAGGTCCAGGGATTTCCCACTCCACGTCGAGGAGAGCCTTTATAAAAGAGCGCGCTGGCTCTCCTCTAATAAACTGGTGCAGAGCAGCAGGATCTCGCTGTGCTGCTTCACAGAAAACAGAAAGCAAGGCTTTTTAATTGACTTTCTTTGCCCAGTAAGAGCAGTAACAAATGTTAAAGCAGATGGGAAGAACAAGCCAAGCTGTGCTAATAATTTTCTATGTGTTAATGACTGGTAAGTTGTGTGTGTGTTTGCTTTATTTGTTTTTAATTTTGTTCAGTGTAAGCTGACCTACAATTTACTGTTTGATCTTTATTTCTCTTTGTTCCAGTTACTTTTACTTTTCAGTGAATACGACTGTCAATTAAGTAGTTCTGTCAAAATGTCAGGAAGCTTTTTTTGGCATTTACTTTGAGCTTTTCCGTGCTCTGCAATGACACAGTCATTTTCTTATTGAGTTTGCTAAAAGACAGTCTAGGAGACAACTGCAGTATATCGCTGCGTGTTTGATATTTACTGTCAAGCCTGACGGCATCAGTCAAGTTTGGTGCTAAATGTCCTGGTGAAAGTGATTCTGTGGTTGTCCTTACTATCTTACTTACCACCCCTCCCCTCAAATGTTACGAAATTTTAGAACCAGATCCACCTGACAAAAAGTTATATTGTGCCAATACATTTATTTTCACTGGCAGCATTGGGTTTATGCCATTTTACATGTGAAAACTCTCTGTTAGAATAATTTGAATCTGTATTATCTTTGGCAAAAATAGCAATGTTTATGGGGTGTTTTGGAGATGTAAACCACTGTATGAGCTTTATTAGTTTAACCTCTACACAACTGTAAAGCAAACTTGCGAATGACCTTGTGTCACAGTAGAACGTGACAAGAAATGCTAAAATAGATGTTGAGAATGCTACTGAGTTCATGTATGTTCTCCCTATTGTAGTTAAAGCTTTTGAAATGGAGATTGTACCTGCTGACAGAATTGTTGCACAGATTGGAGAAACACTCGTGCTCACATGCAATACTACTGGCTGTGCATCACCAAGTTTTTCCTGGAGAACCCAGATGGACAACCCCCTTGGAGGAACAGTGAACAGCCATGGGACTTACTCAACCTTGACTATGAATCCAGTTAGCATTGCGAATTCTCACGATTATCTGTGTACTGTCTTCTGTGGTGAGAAAGGGAAAAAAGAGAAGAGTATCAAAGTTGAACTTTACTGTAAGTAAAAGTGTAAAATTCTCTTTAAGTAGTACATGTTTGTAAAAAAAAAAAAAAAATCAGTAGTTGTTTTTAGATATCGTGGTTGGTAGTTAACTGATAATGCTAACTGATGCTAACTGATAACAAGTCTGCTATAGCTCAACATATATTTCCTTGTAAGATTCCTTTATCTGTCTGTTTGGGACTCTTTCTCAGCCCCTTCTTGCTCAGCTTTCTGCACTGAAGGTAGTACATACTGGTCTTATTTTATTTTATTTTATTATTATTACTGGTAATATTTGAAAGCCAAAAACATAGACTCCCCAAGACGTTGGTAGACCTGGAAAAAAAAAAGACAACCGATGTGGCTGAGATGGATTTATTTGGGAAACCTGCAAGGGCAGAGCACCTAATCAAAGCCTTTGCAGCTTGCAGGGGAATGATTCAGATGTCTAAACCTACCAGCACAGAAAACAGGATACCACCAGTGTATGGATTGCTCTGGATGCCTGTATTTAGGCAGCTGTATCACTGCCTAGGTGCCTTGCTGGGTCTTATTAGGTCATTTGTGATTGTATTTCAACAACTGTACAAATATAATTCCTGTTAGTGTATGAACTGCTTATAAAAGACCTGTATGTCTTCCTATCAAGATATGTCTTGTAATAAAGTTGATATAACGTCATGTTCCGAACACCTCTAAACTCAAGATGTTTGATGTCTGGATCTTGCTCTTATGTTGACCCTAGAGCTCATCTCTGCTAGACTAAAGAAATGGACTTTATTCTTTTAGCTTTCCCCAGTGATCCTATCATTGAGATCAGCCGATCTGTAGGTGCTGGAGAACCAGTCACTGTCATCTGTAAAATTCCTGATGTGTATCCTCCTGATCGCCTGGAAGTACTCCTAAAGAAAGAGGAACAGGTTCTTCTTGAGAAAAATTTTTATGACCATGGCCGCACAAATACACAGACCAAAACTGTGACATATTCTTTTAATCCCACGGCTGATGATATTGGGAAAGAGATTGCCTGTGTGGCCGGTTTACCAATTGCTGAAATGGACTTTGAACCCAAAGAAAGAGTAACTTCTCAGAAACTGAATACAAACTGTAAGTATTTTTATTCTAGGGCTTTCACACCAAGCACTGTTTAACGTTAAGTTTCATGGTACGGGTTTACAAAGTGTGTACTATAAATCATTTATAATCTACACTTGTTATCTGTATTATTTTTTGTAGATAATCTATTGTATTCAATTGAATTATCTTGTATTCAGTAACAGTCATTGAGTCATTAAATACCCACTGTTGTTTGTGACAACAGTTAGGCAATGCTTTAGTAACTCCTCTCTCACTCTCTTTCATTGGGCACTGGTGCTCAGTCAGAAAGTAAAGACCAGAAGAAAAATGGCAGCATGCAGATAACCAATTGTTTTTAAAATTGCCATTGTACGCTTATCAGTTCCAAGTTTATAGTCCTAAACAATAGGGAGACAAATGTAAGAGTAAAAAAAAAAAAAAAAATTGTACATATTTTGTCTAGCTTAGCTTTCAAAGCTGCAAGCTAAATGTCTTAACAAGTCTGGAAAAATTATTCCACTGTGTTACTGGAATACACATTATTCATTTTTTCTTGATATTGTGGGAAATGTACCTCTAGAGAAGCTAGTGTTAAAGATGCGCATGTCATTCTTCATTAACTTACTGACCTCATCTCTCTTTTGTTCTCTTCCAGTTGGTCCACAAAATACTGTCATTACTGCATCTCCAGGCAACTCGCCCATGGTGGGAGACTCTCTAAAGCTCACTTGTGTGACTGAGAGCAATCCACCACCACAAATAGTTTGGAGAAAACATCTGGCTGATGAAAGCATTCAGCATCTGGTAGAAAAGAATGTCCTTTCTATTCCCCGTGCCCGTTTCGCTGATTCAGGACTGTACATCTGTGAAGTCATTAATCTGGTGACTAATGAAACAGAGAAAGCAACTGTGGACATCGTTATACAAGGTACAAGTCTGCTTGAATTTAACTTGTATCATCCAGTACCCAACTGGCAGCTTCCTGTTGGGGTGGAGGACTCTGAAACACTGAAAATTAGGCAATTATGGGGCCGCCTTTGCTATGAATTTGGGATTTAGCTTTCAATTTACTACTGCTTTTCATGGGCTCTGCTTTTCATTTCTATGCTTAATTTTCAGCTAATTCTCTCTGTGCTGCTGTTGTACATGCATACCTCTATACACTTCCTGCAATGCAACACTCAAAGTGGTAAAAGAATCTGCAAAAGTGGTGTGGGGGACACTGTTATTTCCTTGAAATGCTAATGTGCATAGCAATTTCACAGGGACGTCACAGTGTCCTTCTTTGAACTAGTAGTTTTAGTTATTAGTAGTAAATTTAGTAGTCATTTAATAGTTTTACTGTTTGGGACATCATCATTATTGTTGTCATTGTTGTTGTTATTTATTATTACTACTGCTACTGTTTCAATAGAGTCAAAAGTCTCAGGTGGAGCCTGGGACCAAACCCAAAATGAACAGATCCTTGGGCGAGCAGTTCCTGCTTTCTTCAAACCCTCTCTGTCTTTAGTACTTCTGCATTAGTACAACAGCCTTTTCTTTTATCACGCGCAGGTGCTCCAAGCATTGCAGAACTCTCCATTGAGCCTTCTGCAACAGTTCAAGAAGGAGAAGCTGTTTCCATACAATGTTCTGCTGAGAGTAACCCTCCTCCCAATATCATTTTAAGGAGAAAATCTGACAGTGGAGACCTGCGGCCTTACGCTGAGGGGAGAATTTTCCTTCCTTCTGTGACATTCCTAGATGGAGGAAACTACGAATGTGTAGCAGAAAATAAGTTTGGGAAAAGTAAACGTGAAATAGTATTTAATGTGGAATGTAAGTATGTGTAATGTTTTCCCAATCATTTAAAAATAATTAGTTAATTCTCCCCTTACTTCAGGGATGAATGTAACCATCAAACTAAACAACCCTGTGAGTACAAAAAAATCAGCATAGTCCTTTGCTCTTCCCCAGAGAAAGCAGTGCTGATGAGCAAAACAAAGGCGTGAAATCTTTAATGTAATGACAGTCTTAAGTCAGGATCTGAACGAGCGAGAAACTGATCTACCTTCTTAAGGTTCTTGGTTAGAAGTACTTGGTTAGGACGTTTAGGCTATAGAGAGTTTGTATGGAAGCTCTGATACCATGTGCTTTACTTATTCTGAGAATGAAAAAGAAATTAACTTTGGGAGGCGAACAACCTGGCATCCAGTAGGACATGTTGGATCCATCTCTAAAAAATCCAGTGATGATTAACTACAGGATTCTTCCTTTCAGATGGACCGAAGAATACAATGATCTCTGTTATCCCTGCTGCTGCTGTTAAAGAAGGAGAAACTGTGATGATGAATTGTACTAGTTCTGGCAATCCGGCTCCAGTGATCTCTTGGAAGAAAAAGAACGCCACTGGGGAGTCTGAGAAAATTTTTCAAGATGCAATTTTAACTCTACAGAACATACAAAGTCAAGATCTGGGGCTTTATGAATGTGAAGCTTATAACCAATTTGGCAAAGAAGAAAAAGCTGTGGAATTACTTCTTCAAGGTTAGTAGAACAGGATGGAACACAGGTTTTTGTTTTATGTATTTTAGGTCCAGATCTCATTCTGTGACGAATGGGGGAATTCTGTCTTTGATGTCAGTGGAGTTAAAAGGTGACGCTAATGTCATTAAGTCATTTAGGAAACTTTAAACAATGAAGGGTGAAATCTGCCTTGGAACAGGTAGCTTATGCCAAGTTCTCACATCAGCTGAGCTTCCATCGCTCCTTCCAGTTGGCAAATGTATGCATGAGGCAAAGAAGCTACGCAGTGCCCATATTTTCTGCCAAATGTGTCTCGGTGGAGGATCCAGCTACCTGCATACAAAAGATACAAAGAGAAAGTACACGCTGAAACTTCTCTGTGGAGGGACTGTGTTACAGCCCCTTGGCTCTCCTTTAAGTTTCGACTCTGTATCCTGTTCTCGCAAGCTGCGTGTGAGCTATACCAAATGCTGCTTCCTCAACCTGCATGCAATGACAGCAGTTTCATTTTCAGACTTCCCTGCTTTAGCCCTGCTGCTTCTGCTTATTGCATGGCACCAGTGTATTGCTTAGGGATCACTTCTGCCACTAATCCATCTCTCTTCTTTATTCTTTACTATTTTTGTAGCTGCACCAAAGAATATACTTTCAGTTTTCCCTTCAAGTGCAGCGATACAAGGAGAAACCATCTCTTGCACATCTGCAGATGTTACATGTGTTCAGAATACTCTGTGAAAGAAAATAGGGGATGGGATCACAACCCTTGAAACAGTAGATGGCAAATATACCATAGGCAGGGCTCAGCTAAAGGACGCAGGAGCATATGAATGCATATCATTAATGAACTGGGAGAGCAATCTCAGCACGCAGTACTTTATGTCAAAGGTTAGTTAAAATAACTACTGTACAGAGTTAATCTTATGACTTGGTTTAGACAGACAGAATGACGTCTTCGCTTCAATTCCATTAAGAATTGTCTCTAAAAAAACTGAGGTGAGTTGCACAGGTTCTTGTCATAAGTGGTAGGATCTTAGCACTAATGGAAACTTCTGCCCAAACTGGCAGATGCACAAAAATAATTGCTGCTTCAAAATTTTTCATAGTTCCACTTCCACCTTTGAAAACAGGATGTAAAATTATGGAACCTAGTGAAAAAAATACTATTCTAGGACTCCTTCCTTTGCCTTTTCTGTCTCTCTTCTGTTGAAAAAGGACATCAACCGCTGGATCTGTTGGTCTGTGAACTCAAATGAATAAACAGTGAATTTAAAATAAGAAAACAAGAAAAGGCTCCATATGGTTAGCTCAGTTGGTTAGAGCGTGGTGCTAATAACGCCAAGCTCACAGGTTCAATCCCTGCTCGCTGCAGGGGGGTTGGGCTCGATGATCTCTCAAGGTCCCTTCCAACCCAAAGCATTCTATGATTCTATGATTCTATAATGTAAAAGATATGCAACATACTCCATCAACTGTTAAAATGTTCTTTCTGTCAGCTGCTGTGGACTGCAGTCTGTGAAGGATAGCTAGTGAGAGTAGTGTCTAAAGCTATGTGCTCCAATATTATAGTGAATTTGTTAACCGGATTAGTACTGTGTGTGTGCAAGCTGCTGATGCTTCATGACCTTTTTACTTCTGTTTGTTGTTAAATCCTACCTTGCATTTCTTTTCTTCTCAGTTCCTCCCCAAAATGTTACTGTGTCAGTGTATCCATCAGAAAATGTCAAAGAAGGAGAAAATGTCACTATTATATGTAGCACATACAGTAACCCACCACCACAGATGATCCTGAAAAAAGTCCATCGGGAGAATGAGATTATTCTGCCATCAGTGAATGGAACCTTTATACTCTACAATGTCACCAAAAATGATACAGGCAGATATTTGCTTGATGTTTTCAACGAGGTTGGAAACAACATCCAAGTGATTGAGATAGCTGTTGAGGGTAGGTGGGTCTATTGCCTTAAACTTATTTTCTTTGTACTTTCTAATGAATTTTGTGTCAAGGTGAGCACAACTAGTTCGTGGCTGATCCTTGTGCAACAATACTGCGGTTAACCTAAAAAAACCCCAAAACTCAACCCAAATAATAGCACAGCTGGTGAGAATAAGCTGTATTTAACCTCCGTTCAGTGTGGATGTTATTGTCTCTCTTACCTGAGTTGGTGCAGTAGCTTCAAGGATAGGGCCAGAAAAAGGTGGATCCTGGCTGCATTTCTGTCCACGTGCATGAACAGTGAGACTAATCCAGAGGAAGTTCTGTTTCACAAAGAGATCTAAAGATTGGGCTTTTTAAACATGGTCTTCTCCTGAAGTATTGTTTTCAGGAGGTAGAAATGTCCCCAAATGTTTCCTGGGTAAAATACATGATATTCTTCTTGTATTCTTCATGAACTCCATGGTATTCTTCATTGTAGATGGTATCAGATGGGTTTGAACTTGCATAGCAAATTCAAGACCAAGATAGTGGCTAGGAATTAAAGTGTGTAATATGGAGCTACTAAAGAAAAAAGCATAAGGAAAACATTTTGAAATGTGCTTTGTGCATGAAAACAGAAATAGCGTTCTAAATGAAGGTCATTAATAACACTGCTTTTACAGTAATACACAAGTATCTGTTTCAATCCGGTTTTACACAGCTTTTTTCTCCTTTTGTCTCCATTTTCAGGAAGATTGGAAGAAAGACATCAAATCCTACCAGTGATTATTGCATTCTCCTGCGTAACAGCAATAGCAGTGCCTATAGTTGCAATTTTGATCTACGTGTCAAGACAAGGAAAGATAAATGGATCCTACAATCTTGTAAAAGCACTCAGACTGAAAGTGTGATCGCACGAATATAAGTCTAAGTTCACGATAAGCAATGTTATTTATTGCTGTGACTGGTTCTACTCTCCTATAACATATGGTAACAAACAAGTGACAAGAACACTGCCATCTGATAGCAAATCGATATTTTTTTTTTTTTAATGTTTTGATAAGTATTTCAGTATTTAAATTAAAGGGACATCCTGTCCTAGCAATTGGTAAATCACTTCTGTGCTGGAGCATGCTGAACAAAGAGTTCCTTGGAGAACTAGGTTTGTACATAGTGTACAATTTGTGTTATAAATATGTTCAACTGAATATCAGTTTGTAAAATTGCAGTCCTACTGCAACTGTACAGAGAAATGTTGTTAATTCAAAGATACAAATCAGCATTACTTCAGCTGATCAGTTGATAATATTTTATTTTGTATTATTCTACAGAGTGCATGTTTTTAATATAGTTTGTCTGCTTGTGGTAATGTTCGGAAAATGTTCTTTTTTTCACTCATATTGCCATAAACGCTGTACATTCAGTGAAGTTACACAATCACTGGGCTATGCATTTCTAATTAATTTAAATTCGTTTAAGATCTCAAGGCTCATTTGTGAAACATTTTACTTTATAATCCCAGACACTTTCTGAGTAATATTTAGTCTAGTTAGTTTTAGGACAGCTGAGGTATTTTTGTAGGGTTTAATCATTCTCAAGTCAATGTCAGAATTCTGTTATTTTGCGGTGAGCCAAATCAGACCCTTCATTTAGAATATAAGCTGCCGATAAATACACTTTACAAATTTCCACTGCAAAATAAAGCTACCGGTAGGTTTCTTTGACTAGATCCCCCTAGTGATTCTTGCTTCAGATTATGTCAGAATACATGTTCCTATGGAAGGAACCAGCGAAAACTATTATCCTTAGCAACAGCAGTCGAGTGTCATGGGAAGCCCTAGGTGTAAAGGCGCGAGCAAGGCAGGCAGCGACGTAAAGGCAAGGGGGAAAGGCAAAATCTGTGCGGCCTCAGCAATGGTGGTGGAGTTGTTTCCCGAAGAAATGCCCTTCCCAAGCTGCTCACTGTGGAAAACTAAGCCCCTTGCTTGACAACTTTCCTTTTAATAGACAACCAGTGCCTGCACACTTCTCCCTGGTTAGCGCCTTCTTTCCTTGCCCCCTCTCTCCGCCGTTGGCAAAACGCGGTGAAAACAGTGGGCTTTCTGTGCAGAGGCAAAGGTGAGGGGGAAGGAGAGGTGGAGTTTGATGGTGTTCTCCCTTACATCCCTTCTCCTGGCTAGCAGTGCTGCTTTGACTCACCTGGTTGGTGACGTTCCACGCTGAAGGCAAGGCTGTGGGAGGCGTGGGCACTGCGGCTGAGATGTTGAAGTGCATCCAGTCGCCGCGGCGCTCAGCCGCTGCGTTAGGCACAGGAAAGTGGGCTTGGCTCCCCCAAACCTGCACACGCAAGGTCAAGCACAAGGTCGAAGGTGGGCTTGGCTCCCCCAAACCTGCACACGCAAGGTCAAGCACAAGGTCGAAGGTGGGCTTGGCTCCCCCAAACCTGCACACGCAAGGTCAAGCACAAGGTCAAGCAGAGATATGTGAAACCAGTTCATTTACATTATACAAGCGGTAACAAGTGCCCCCAACAGCAATACAAATGCAGATGTCGCTTGGTGGCTAGCTGCGGGATGAGGCAGTGGTGCAGATATCTCCCAGATATTTTTCGTAGCGTGTTCGGTGGTGATTTGTGCACTAAATCAGTGCATGCAGGGTCCTGCGCTTATCTACAGTTGGAAAGGGAGGCTTGGAAAGTGGGGGTGTAGCAGAAAAATGGGAGAGCGGTGTGGACTTGGCTAGGAGGAATGTGAGCATGCAGTAGGAGGGTGAAGAAAAGACTGAAAACAGAGGAGGAGGAGATCTTTGACAGGCCCATGACATAAATTTCTTGGGGGTGGTGCCAGGCAGATTTATTCAGAATAATGTCAGGCCTGTCTCGGTGCTGTCTTGTGAACGAACCAGAAAGCATGATTTTTCCACTGTGCAAAACTTTGGTGCACACACATTTTGCCTACTGGGTATACTTCTGGTATCTGTATTGCAAGAAGGATAGTTAGAAAAGATACAGAGAAGGGAGGACTGGGAAACAGGAAAAATGAAAATGCCTGGGACTTTCCAGTTTGGAGAGAGAATTCTGAAGGAGGAGGGGATGTGACTGACGTTTTCCAAATCGGGAAGACAGTTGATCACAAACAACAGATGCAGAAGTGCTGTTTGCTAGATCATGCAAAGCCAGAACTGCAGGGCATGCAAACTAAGGAGAGCGCAGTTTAACAAAAATAATAGAAAATACTTCTTGACACAGTGAATGGTGAACTGCTGGAAGCTGCTGCAGAAGGTTGTGGAGGGTAACAGCATCAACTGGCTCAAAAGGGGAATGGAAATGGATTAAAGGTCCATAAACAGATACTAAAGGGAATAGGCAGAAAGTACTGCATAACATCCCTAATCCAGTGGCCACTGGCGCTGAGCAATCCTCAGGGAATATCCTGCACAAGGTGGCCAGGTGCGCATGCTCTCCTGAAGTAGTGCCTCCCGCTGCTGGAGTGTCCTGGTTTGGGCTGGGACAGAGTTAATTTTCTTC